CCCCCCCCCCCCCCTCCCGAACGGGAAAACGAGAGAGAAACAGGGGAGACAATTGGATATGACAAGCTTGCAGTTATGGAAAAAGTAGCTGCAAGTTTGTTCGAGTATATCAGTGAGGAGAGCCATAGACTTACACAGTTGAATATATTCAGGGTATACTCAATAAGGTGCCTTTCAAAATGGGATTCCCTTGTTAGTTCGTAAGCCTTATCCTCCAATTAAGGTGTTTTGATATGATTTTTGGATGCCTTGAATCATCTTTTGCCAAAGCACCCAAGTCGCTATTACCGACGGAGAGGGGCAATCGAACAAGAATATGTCGAACTTGCTAAACCAAATCCTGACATGATAGGGGCATTTCAAAAGTAAGACAGCCTCTGTAGGTGTCCTGTAATTTGGTTGCATTGCATTATAGTTTTTCTTTTCATTTATTCCCTTCAGCCAGGGCCTCCCTCTTCTTTCCCTTAAAAATGACACATTTCATTTGCTTTTCTGCATTAGCATTTGTAGGCATCATCTTTCTCTAAGAATTTGTTTCCCCTGAAAACAAAACAGGAAGATTTGCAGGAGAATGAACACAGGATCCATGATTTTGAGTATAAATCAATGAAATATGCTTCATCTTTAGTAAAGCCAAAAAGTGTTCATAAGATCTTTGGATTGGAACAATATCACTGAACTGCACAACAGCATAAGGTTCAAAACATGAGTTAGGCCACTCTCTCTCTCTCTCTCTCTCTTATTTGTTATTTTTATACTTAAAAGTAGAAAAAAACATTGGTTGCTCTTTTAGAAGGGAATTTTGTTGCCAAATGTGGCAAATGCTTTAAGATCTACTGAATAATAACAAGCTTCGAGCTTGTTTGTCATTATCTTGGAATGTTTATGAAATCCTTTGGTTTCGCTTTGTTTTGAGTTACATTAGAACCTTGGTTCATTGTGTCTATACTTAGTTTAAGAGGATAGAATGTTTATGTTACATCTTTGAAACATTTAGCTCAAGTTAGGCTAAACGCTCAAGTTTGGCTCAATTTTAGCCTGTGTTTTTCTTTCGCACTTTGACCAAGGAAGAATACTTGGTTTCTTATGGTAGAATGTTTCTATTACGTCTTTGAAACATTTATCTCGAGTTTGGTTCAATTTTTAGCCGCGTCTGATGAAGGAAGAATACTTAGTTTCAGATGGTAGAATGTTTTTATTACGTCTTTGAAACATTTAGATTTGAGTTTGGCTTTTTCCTTCACACTTGATGAAGGAAGCTTCGTTGTTCGTTGAAAGTCATAGTCTCGACGTTGAAGATGAAGGAAGCCTCATCGTCTAACAAACCTTCGTTTGCCTAATGGATATATTTCATACGTTATTATTGTTCGAACCTCAACCAGTTATTAAAAATATAATTACAAATATGTAAATTCACAAATAGTTTTGACTTCGCAAATCTAATTACTATATATGATTCAAAATGAATCATCCCATTTTTATACGATCAACTTAAATATAGTTTAATTATTTATTCATTCATTTGGATTCAATGTTTAAAATATAACATTTGTTTTCGAACTCAATTTAGAATTATATAAATATTCTCAATCAAATCATATCTTACAAAAATGGTAAAATTATATAACAAAAGTTTGTCAAATCAAGACAAGGTTCTCTTTAAATTTGTTCATTAAAAGTAGCATATAAATGCATAAAGAATTAGAACTTATGTGACAATTGATCAGCTTAAGAATTTAACCAAAACTTTTTGGTATCTTGGCTAATCAACCCACTCTACAAATAAAATCTTATCTTCCTTTTAAACAGTAATAGTACTCGGATAGGTGTCGTCTTCTCACTCGTAACTCGAAACTATAAAAATTTCATTCTCGGACATAATTCCATATCAAAGATCAGATTTTAATTACCAAATGGTTCGAATATGAAGATTATTATGAGCTAGTTCATGAATTGGAGAGCAAAATAACCGTTATTATCGCTAAAAAAAATAACAATATTTTGTCAAATCAACTGAGCGTTTTCAAAGTAAAATTTCTCGGACTTTTACTATTTACTCTAATGCTGACACAGCTCAACTAGCTAAAACATTAAAAACGTTTCTTTCGTGAATAGTTTGGGCCGTGCAAAGTTGATTGGTTAAAAAAAGTTAATCATATTTATTAAAACATAAGTTCTCCACGTGTCATGAGGAGATGAAAAGCACGTTTAAACCAATTTAGAATGGCCCACCGCGACCATCGCGTTGACCACTCGTGGAATGCTCGGCTGACTGTACCGTCCAGACAGCCCCAAGATTTATATATAAAATAAAACAAAATTGTCCCATAAAAATAACGAACTCTGTATCCAGAAATAACAACTTTCCCTCTCCTCCCTCTCTTTCTCTCTCCAGACATATAATTATTTTCCCAGAAAAAAGAACTCACTCAGACACAGGAACAAGACGAACAAATTTCCCTTTCTCTGTCTCTGTTTTTTTTTTCTCTCTCTATAAAATCTCTGCCTCTGTTTTTCTCTGTTTGGCTTCGCATGGAGCTTTGTTGCAATTCCACTGAAACTTCATCTTTGCTGCTCCAGAATCCATTGTTCTTCCATTCTCTTTAAGTTTAAGACGACCCGTTTTGTTAATTATTGTTGAGTTATGTTGCACGAGGTGATCGTCGGCGGCAGCGGTTCCGAATCGGAGCAAATGCTTCCCACTGTAAGCATTTTACTCTTTAGTGTTTATTTTATAATATTCATGAGTGTTTGAATCAGCGGGTTTGATATTGAGTTACCATTTTGATGAATGCCCATAAGGTATTTGATGAAATTCCCAGCTGCCATTTTTAGTTTTTTGTGCTTGAAAAATGGGTTTGAATTCTTTTTCTTGAGAAATCTTGCTGTTAGAGCATTTCTGGGTTGGATTCTTATTCAAGATATCGTGGTTGATGAGCATCTCATATGGATTTGATTTTTAAATTCTGTTTGTTTGTCCAATCTGGGAAGTTTTTACCACTAATTCAAGCAAATTTTGTACTCCATTAGCTTCTTGCTTTTCTTTTTTGCACTCCCACAGAGCACATGAGCATAAATGCACGTCTTTTTCAGCTTTGCACAACAAAAATGGAGCATTAGAGACCATTCTGGTTGGTTTAGATTGTTTTACACTGTTCTTCTGCTTCTTTTACTGAGCTGCATATTTGAGAAGAAGAGGGGATTTATATGCTTGTTTGTGTTGTTTTTATGATTCCAATCTTCATGTTGTGAATATGAAGAATGGTGCGTCTTGCTTGTTCGAAACGAAGGTTGATTTTGGTGTAGTCTTGCCTAAGGGAATATCGGTAGAAGTAGATTCGTTCTTCTCCATCTATAAGAAACACCTCTTGTTCCCATTTAGTCACCTTTCGTCCATCTTCTGGTTGTGAATATGAAGAATGGTGATTCTTGCTTGTTCAAAATGAAGGTTGATTTTTGTGTGGTCGTGTCGAAGGGAATATCGGTAGAAGTAGATTCGTTCTTCTCAATCTATAAGAACCGCTCTTGTTCCAGTTTAGTAGAAGTAGATTTGTTCATCTCGATCTATATAAGAAACATCTGTTGTTCCTGTTTAGTAGAAGTAGATTCGTTCTTCTCGATCTATATGAACCGCCTCTTGTTCCTGTTTAGTCCCCTTTCGTTTTTGGTTTATGTATGCATGATCATGGCTAGAAGTTGATGTTGGTGTTTGATATTGTGTTTTCAGGAAGAAATCTCGAGTCCAATCAACGCTCAGATATATGATTTTTGTGATTCCGAGTTGTTCTCAGAGATGCTTCAAAACTCCGAGGAGTTCAATTCTTACTCGAATTGTTATTACGACAATAATTCATCATATGCTACAAATCTGCCTCATTCCCCAGATCAGGCAGATAACAATGGCAATGAAAATGGCAATACAGTCGTCGCTGCTCCATCGTTCGTACCGGCTAACGATGCATCGGCTACGACGAACATTACGACCAACAGTAATTTGACTACTATCTTTGATTGCCAAGAAGAACTTGACAATGATATCTCTGCTTCCATAGACTTCTCTCCATCGGATTCGTTTTCGATCGCTCAATATCTCACCATCCAGTCGGGGCAGTTCGACGTTTCTCAAGTGCAGTCTCAGATGCCATTACTAGATCCCATGATTGATGGGCTTCTGCAGTGTCCTATGGCTCCAGGAACTTTCATCGACGAAGATCTACCTTCGATTTACGTCGACGATTGCTTGTCTTCCTTCACTTCCTACATGCCATTGAATCCTTCCTCCCCTTCGTGCTCGTTCGTCGGAGCAACCATGCCAACTTACCTGCCTACGCCACCAATGAACCTCACTGTGTCATCGTCGTCGGTCGAAAATTGCGGTATGTTCCCGCTCCTCAGCGCAGAATTGCAACCACAAGACCTTGACTATCAAGGAGACAACTGTGGACTCTACAGCCAAGACTATATGCAGGGGACTTTCAATCCAGCAGACCTTCAGGTACTTAACTAACTAAAATCTTTTCGAACATAACACGTCTTCGAAAACGACGAACTAAACCATTCAACTCACGATCACGCTACGTTTTTGTTGTATATAGAAGGTACTTAGCGATGAGAATCTGCAACTGGCTGCTGGGGCAATGAACTGCACTTCATTAGCATCAGATCTCTCAAGCTTGAAGGACAGTACTTTCAAAGTTGGCAAACTCTCTGTGGAAGAGAGGAAGCAGAAGATTCATAGGTACATGAAGAAAAGAAATGAGAGGAACTTCAGCAAGAAAATCAAGGTATTTTTTCCTCTCCATCTCTCCCCCTCCCCTCTTTATATTCAAACTCGAGACATCGCTAATGATGGAGGCAAATTAACAGTACGCCTGCCGAAAAACGCTAGCAGATAGCCGCCCACGGGTTCGGGGACGGTTCGCCAAGAACGACGAATTGACGGAGAATCACAGGGCTGCTTGTAGCATCCATGAAGGAGAAGAAGAAGAGGTAAAGCTTCTCTCTAAGCCAACTTTTCAAAAGTCACGGTTAGGAATTACGACTCTCTACAATGGTACGATATTGTCTACTTTGAGCATAAGCTCTCGGGCCTTAATTTTGGGTTTCTCCAAAAGGCCTCATTCCAACGGAGATATATTCCTTTACTTATAAACCCGACCAATGCCTTTTGTTATGCAGGTAGTTGTGAAGGAAGAAGATAGCATGGTTGATTCTTCAGACATATTTGCTCATATCAGTGGAGTGAACTCGTTGAAACGCAGCTATCCAATCCAGTCTTGGATTTGATTTTATTTATTTATTTCTTTTTTTTTTTTTAAGTTGGTAATTAAAAATAAATTTAAAAAGAAAAAGAGAAAGAAACTACAATTTTGCAGGACCCAATTACAAATATGAAGAGATATGTGGTAGAGAAAGAGATAGTGAAAAAGAGAAGGGTCGTAAATAGAAATAAGTTTTGAGTGAGGCCCCACCTAGCAATTAGAAACTTTTCAATTTGTAGATATTTCCATCAACAAATTCAAAATCCTTGATTTGTACATGTTAGGGGTTTGTGCCCTCAAAGTTGCAATAAATTATATGTATATCTCCCAATTTAATTATAAAGCTCGTCTCGATTTTGTTTCTTTTAAGGTTTCAATCATGTTCGGATTATAAAATAAATAATCTATCGTCAGTTAAACATCGAAAATTTACTATTTCGACTTAGTTACAAGAAACACTTTTCACACTGACCCATGTGTTAGGAACCACGAACCTCTACAATGGTAAAACTTGACAAAACAGACATGAACGAATGAATTATCGACTTTTGAGGTAGTAGTTATTTTATCAACTAAATCATGCTCGGATTGCAAAATGAATAATCTACCATTAGTTAAACACGAGATTTTACCATCTCAACTTGATTACAACAAACCCTTTTCATAGTGACTCATGTGTTAGGAATCACGAACCTCCACATGGTATGATATTGTCTACTATGAACCTAAGCTCTCGTGACTTTATTTTTTTTTTGTTAGATAAAATAATTAAAATAAAAGAAGTAAAATTTCTATAAATAAAATTATATATTCAATTTTAAATTTTAATTAAAAAGAGGAAAAAAAAAAAAAAAACACAATAATCATAATTTAGCAGAATTTAAAATTAATTTTAATTTTATTCGAATTTTTGGCCGTAAACAAACCCTAGGTCCCATCTGTATATAAATGGCCATGAAAGATCATAAGTTCCTCTCAGATTCTCGTTTCTGCCGGCGAAAATGTCGAAGCGAGGTAAGCGAACCCTTGTGCCTCACCTCTTCGTTCTTCGCAGTTTCACCATCTAGATTTTGGGTTTAGGTTTCGTTTTCGTTCTTCCTGTGTTCTTTTCTCGCCGGAAAATCATGTTCTTGTTTCATTTGCTTTGGAAGTACCCATTTTTTGGGGCTTTTTATTGAATCTGTATCGAATCCACAATTTACTAGTGGAGGAGTGATCGATTTTCCATGTGTGAACTCTGGAATGGGTATGATCGATCTGCTTCTTGTTGGTGCAGGGCGCGGAGGATCTGCAGGTAACAAGTTTAGGATGTCACTTGGTCTACCGGTGGCAGCGACGGTGAATTGTGCAGACAACACTGGAGCTAAGAACCTGTACATCATCTCAGTGAAGGGTATCAAGGGGCGTTTGAACAGATTGCCATCGGCTTGTGTTGGAGATATGGTGATGGCCACTGTCAAGAAGGGAAAGCCCGATCTCAGGAAGAAGGTTCTTCCTGCTGTCATTGTCAGGCAGCGCAAGCCATGGCGGCGAAAGGATGGGGTTTTCATGTACTTCGAAGGTATATATACGATACATGTGTTTCTCTTGATAAGCTCCAAATTTGCTTGTTTTAGAAAGCACTATGGTACACATGTTCGAACTTGACCTGGATTTGTATTTGCCTGTTGACGTCTGATATCTATCACGTCTTGTCTTTGAACTCTTATTTGTGTCTTCAGGTTTTTGTTATTACTGGTTGCCTTGCTGAATTGTGATTGCTTGCAGTTGTTCGAACCTGAGAATCCCATGATTAACACGTCTGTTGAAGCTAGATAGATGTTTTCAGTCCATTTATTCTCTATTTCTAATATGGTTCTGTGAGGAATAGATATCAAACATATCCGAGTTTTGGGTTGCATAGATGTTTATTTTACTTTTCACTATGGGATGTAGTACCGGCGGCGGCTCATTGGGCTAAAATAACCAAAAATGCGGCCCCAAATATGCAATTATAATAGAAACCAAGTTTAGAAAGTAAAATCCAAAGCAACATGTTTTCAGTTCATTTGATTAAAAAGTTCCCAAGTTCGTCGTTTGGACCCCATCTATTTTCCAGGCATAAGTCATCTATCTTCCTTATTGTAACGGTTGAAACTGTTATGGGTCTTGTAATTTGACAGTCTTCATCATTGAAGATGTGTTGAAACTTTCACGCTCATATCCTCTGGCTCCTTGTGGACATAACATTGTTCATTTCATAATACTTCCATTCTTGGACTCATTCTGCCATTTAGTTAGTATGATATTATCCGTCTACAAATTTTGTTTTAATATACTTGTGTATATCACATCGGTATTTGATTTCGAAATGTATATTGTGGATGCAGATAATGCAGGAGTGATTGTGAACCCAAAAGGAGAAATGAAAGGTACGACTCATTCACCAGATGAAAATGCTCATTCTCCTAGTCTTTTAATCTTGCAAGGTTATGAAGTTCGTTTGTTGCTGCTGTTGCAGGTTCTGCAATCACAGGTCCCATCGGAAAGGAGTGTGCGGATTTATGGCCTAGGATCGCAAGTGCAGCCAATGCTATCGTTTAGTGTACGTCTAGAGTATCATTCTTCTCGATTCTGTGGTTATAACACCTCGTAATTTTTGATATCCTAGTGGTTTCTTTAAATTACTGTCTCTTCCAATGCGAGATTTAATGGATCATTTTTGGGTCAATGAATTAGATTCTGAACTGGCAATCATATCATTAATATTTTCCCCTTGTGTTCTTGAATGCCCTGCTATTGACTTCGTATGCCCTTGAGTGACCCATAAAACTACTACAGTTGAAGCTAAGAAAATTGAAGTTGTTTATAAGGGTAGATGAAGAATGAAGTACCCAAGACACCATGTTGCATATAAATACCTCAACGAAAGACATATATACATATAGATGACATTTAGAAGCCAAGACAAACAAGAAAAGAAATTAACACAACCAAAGCTCTTATTCTGTTGTTCCTTCTTGGTTACACAATCTATATATCAGTAATTTACAGAGGAAACATGAGCTGAGCTTAGCTGTGCATGAGTTGAGTTGGATAGTAGTAATAAACAGATGAGGAGGTTGAGCTCAATACATCTTGGACTGAGCACTCAGATTCATCTTGGCACAATACTCAAACAAGCTCCCATCATAACATCTCCTTATAGCCTCTTTAGAGAGAAAGCCATCTTCATCCCTAGCCAGCACGTATAGTATGAACCACTCGAGTTTGGATGCCACCCTGCGGGAGTCAAGAGGGCATGGCATGACAAAGACTTAGAACGATAGGAAACTAAAGAGTATTAACTTATGACATAGAAGAAAGAACGGTCAATGCATACCATCCGAAGGGATCGAAAGCTAGACGGTTGGCTTCAGTCATGTCCCATAGCTCACCAAGGGACAGCTTGTCCGGCTGTGTTCTAGCGTACTTACTGAAAATGTTCTCGAAATTCACCGCCACGTACCGTCCCTCAGTGTCATAGGTTCCAGTGTCGCTCCCATGCTTGTCTCTGTGAATGTTGTAAATGTAGATCGGGAGAAAGGGCGATGGGATCCATCCCTGCAAATTTCATCACATTATCAAATCTACTTCTTCAATTCTTTGGAGTTGCCACGATTTACTTACTTGTTGAGTACGGTAGCTCATGGCGATATTTATAACAATTGCCATAATTAGGGACACTAACATGTTGAATCCAATAGCTCTTAGCCCTTCAAAGATAACATTCAAAACATTGTTAGTATTGTTATTACAAAGCTTTGTGACTAAAAATGATGATAATCACCAACATAAGTCTCCCAAGGGTAAACGATGCCATTATCATCTTGGTCGAAGAAGGCGACATGCTGCTGAAGAACTGTCATTCCATAGTGATTATGCCCCACCGTCCCCGTCGGGTGGCTGGTGTCCGGCGCCACCAACGCCCTCGCCAAATCTGATCATTTCATAACCAAAAAAAGAACTATGAAACCGGGATTGTCTAAACTGTGATTTCAACGAAGTAAGTTTAGTTTTTGAGGGCTCACATGGCTTGGGGATTGTGGTTTCGAGGTCGTTGCGGACCCTTCGCTCGCGAGTGACGGGCGCAAATCGAGCCTCGGTGGCGGTGGCTTCGTTTTCCATTGATAAAGCCATGGCGGAGAGATTGCAAGCAGTGGCGGTGGCGATGGTAAGTGACTTTTCGGGAGATTTTATAAAGAGGGAAATTGATGAGAAGGGGATTGAGGTGGCTTTGTGGTGTGCCAACGTTTTGTTTGCTGCAGGCCTAGATCGACACGACCCATCTGTCCTTCGCCGCTCTCATTTCTCTTTATCTCTCTCTCTCTTTTTCGATAAGATCGACGCGAACCTTGAATTTTACGGGCCTTGGGTCCAGAGTTTTGGGCCGAGTCTCAACAGAATCTAACAAGTTTGAAGCCTAAAACTTCGTTGATTCATAAAAAATTTCCTATTCGTGTTCCTACCCCAATTAGTCCAAAGAAAAAGGGGGATTTCAGCGCCCAAGATATGGCCGGTGACGTAGCGGTGGAGAGTCCTGCGGCGGCGGCAATGGCGGCGGCGACAGAAGTAGGCGATTCCATTGAGCAGTCCCATATGTTGGAGAGAAAATGGACCTTTTGGTTCTGTGAATGTTTGATTAATCCACCACACCTAAATGGTGTGAAAGTTATCTTATTTATAATCAAATGAATTACAAAGATATGGAAATAGTAATAAATGGAAATAACAATAAATGGAAAGATACCTATGATAATAAAGCAAATATTAGATATTTGCCTTATAATAAAATATCAAATATAATATATATGGTAAACAATAATTTATTACTAAATATCCTTAACAGGTTCGATAACCAGTCGAGGCCGAAGCAAGGTGCTGAATGGGGCAGCTCTCTGCGCAAGGTCTATACCTTCGACAGTGTCGAAGAATTTTGGTGGTACGTCCTTCGATCCCCCTCTGTGCCAATGATTAAACTGGTTCTGTTTTCATTTTTCTTTGACGTTCTGCTACGATTTTGTTCATATTCTTTTTCTTCGATTTGTGATTCCGGGCTTTTGTACAGTTTTTACGATCAGATATTGAAGCCGAGCAAGTTGCCGGCTAATGCAGATTTTCACTTGTTCAAAGCTAGAGTTGAACCGAAATGGGAAGATCCTGAGTGTGCTAATGGAGGAAAATGGACTGTCACGAGCAGTAGAAAGACTAACCTCGATACCATGTGGCTGGAAACGGTATACAAAGACTAACCTAATCTCATTGTTGGTTGCATGAATTTGTGGTAATTGCTTGCTTTAATTTGGTCTAAAATTTCATGTCCTTCGTTATTGGGTAGTTGATGGCATTGATTGGGGAACAATTTGAGGAGTCTGATGTGATCTGTGGCGTAGTTGCCAGTCTGCGCCAGAGGCAGGACAAGCTTGCACTGTGGACCAAGACAGCAACAAATGAGGCTGTTCAGGTTAGTCGTTGTTAGTTTTGTAGATGGTAGCGAGACCGTGTCATCGCCGAGATTATTTCGAATTCTCAGCATAACGTTTGTTCACTATGATCTTGCCAACTATGATCCTTATCTTATATCAGCTCATGAATCTCTGAGAGATGTCCTGTTCTCTGCTTATACGAAAATTATAGCTTTTGTTGTGAATCTTTTGATGTGTGTGGATTACCGGTTGTGTTTTGCCCCTCTTGTTTGCTTAGAACTTCGTTTACTCAGTTCTAAAGACCGTCTAACTTATTCTGTACTTTCCGATCGATGCAGATGAGCATCGGTAGGAAATGGAAGGAGATTATCGACGTTACCGACAAGATTTCCTTCAGCTTTCATGTAAACTTCAGTTTTATGATTATCAACATTTTTCTCTTCTGTTCGTCCCATTTCATAGATTACATCTCTATTTGTCTCGGTTGGTTACAGGAGGATCTGAGAAGGGAAAAGTTGGCGAAGTCGTCTCGGTACAGTGTCTGATCATTAACTTGATCATGTTGAGCTGCTAAACTTTGAGGCAAGTTCTTTTTTTGGCTTTGTTTTTGAATCCAAGACACTCAATTCAGATGTTCCATGTATAATTGTATTGCATGTTTCCATAATCATGTTTAGAGAGAAGGTTATGGGAGAGTGTAATTTTGAAAAATGAAGCATTTCCTGCGAGTACTAAAAGAGTGAGTGTTTTGAGTATAGATGATATTACAGCTGATGAACTGAATGGAATAGAAAACAGGAGAAGGGCATAAGAAGAAGACGAAGAAGATCTCAGGCAAGGAATCCAAGTCTTTCTCCATTCTTCTTGGCCAGCCTGATTAGCCCTTGTCTTTGTTTTCCATCAGCTCCAATTGATTTGCAAAACTCTGTGATTACCTGACAAACACCAACACACATTCACACCACTTTCAAAATCAACAAGTACTCATATTGGTTAAGTTTGGTTAAAGTTCGATTGTTTCGTATTTGAAATTCAGTATCCTTCTCTTTTAGAGGTTGTTTAATCATATCGACAGGACCTTCCCTGGGATTCACTCGAAAAAGAAGAATGAAAGAAACGAGGGAGTGTGATCTCATGACCTCGAGACAGTTCTGCGCCATGGAGTGAAGCTTAGAGGAGTTCGACCACAAGGTCAAAATAAGTAAGTAGAGACCAACTCATGGGGACTAGAAAGATTCGGGTGCATGAGGTAATGAGCCTAACTATTTGTATAATGTTTAAAAGAGTCTGGTCCATGGGAGTTCGACCACAAGATTAAAATGAGAAAAGAGAGGACCAACGAATGAGGACTAGAAAGATTCCCATGCACGAGCCAATGAGCCTAACAATTTATACCATGTTTAAGAGTCGGTTGAAGCTTTTCTTTTTCTTCGTGTAGTTTTGAAACTATCCTCAAATTAGATGAAGGAATATATATCAAAATTAGAGTAATATAGCGTAGTGTTTAGTATATAAATTTTATGGCCTAACAAATAATTATTTCTAAACAAACAAATTGAGATTAATGGGAAAAGAAAATGAATAACCAATACCTGTGAATGTAAGGCAATTGCTTTGCCCCTAAGCTGATTGAAGCGCTTCTTGCCGATGATATTCCGAGTAACCACAACCAACGGCGCGAAAACCCCTTTCCCTTCATTCACGTTCTTCATCATCGGCCGGAACCTGACCGCCTTCCCCCCTCCCACTTGCACCGCGGCCGGCCTCGCCGCCAGCAGCGCGTAATCCTCGCCGGCCACTGAAGACCCCCATCCTCCAATGAAAGAAGACGAACAGCACAATCCAGTCGCAGAAATCGAAGTCGCCGCCATGGAAACAGCTTCTTCCGCTTCTTCTTCTTCCTCAGCTAACAGGTACGGTTCCAACTCCTTCTCCCTCTCAGTGCCTCTTTGCTTGATATTTGGATGTGAAATGGAGGCGAAATGTGGGTGAGGGAAATTGGGGATCGAGAGAGGGGTTATGAGCCACACACTTGGCTAGGGTTTTGGCGTTTTGTTTCAAAAGCAGAGTTGTGAATCCAATTGAATGGAATTGTTCATGCGATTGCTTCCTATGGTCCATAATTAGGGGAGAATATGAGCTTGTTGAATTCAATTGGAAAGGGGCCCTGTCTGCTAGCTTATCTCATCACCGTGGCTCCATCTCCGCCGTGAAGAAGACTAGACGACGACCCCATTTGAGATTCATACCTTAGCATAATTTTAATATTAATAACATAATATGTCACATAAATCCCTTGATCCCTCCCCATTTGACCGAGGATTCACCATCATGTTTAATGTTCCTTGTCTTTCATATTATATTTTTTAAAAAGATTTTTAGTATTTTGTATTTCATAATAATTGAGTCATTATGGTTTAAATTCTGAAATAGTTTAATAATCTAGTGATTATAGTAAGTTGTTATTGATGAAATCTCGTTAAATTTTAATTAAGATCTACAAAGACTAAATTGAAAGATTAAATGTTTGATTTAATTTATTTTATTTTTCATTAGCAAGCTTCTTACCAAGCCCTTGTCAATGGCGTCACTTGCAACCCACCTCTCTGCCTCCCTCATCCTCGCCCCCATCGGCGTTCGTCGGCTCCTCGGTTCTTCCTCCATTTACCTCAACAACCCATCTCTTTGCCGATCAAAAATCTGGTACTTATCCGAACCCAAATGGAAGAATTGCGACTTATATTCCCTCCTCCTCCTCCTCCCTATCGCCGCCTTCTCCGAAATTTTCCTTTTCATCGCGTTTTCCGGTAACCCTACTACAGGCTCGCATTTTCCCAGCAATCAGTCGCCATTTTCTTCTTCTGGGCGCTTGCGATTCTCATCATTTTGCGGGAAAATCTCGGTCCTCTTCTTGTAAGTGAGAGTTTCATCTTCGTTTTCGCCGGAGTTGCGTTTCTTGTTGAGTTTTCCGTGATTGGTAAGGGGATTACTGGTCTTGGTGGTGATTTGTATCACATTTCTGGAGGATTAACCCTTCTTTGCGCTTGTTCCTGCTTGTTTTTATCTATGAAACCGTCTGCATTTTTCGCTGAATTTCTACTTTCCTCTGGCTTAACGTTTAAGGGCACATGGCTGTTTCAAATTGGCTTGTCTTTGTATACCGATGCATTTGCTTTGAAGGGTTGTCGTGCAATGTTGGTGTTGCCTGCTACTGGTGACGCTTTTGTACAATGTGATCTTGAGGAAGATGGTCTGAGGGGCATTGCTTTGATGAACCTAATATTCATTGGCCATGTTGTTTTAGTTTTGATATTGGGTTTAGGTTTGATTGGCTTGTTGTCCAGCAACAGGAATTTTAGGATCGGCCAGGGAAGTGGCCCATTGTTGGCTGAGCTTGGACAGGAGACTGTTGATTCGCTCAGCTCCTGAGCTTGAAATGGACTGAAGGTGTAGCTACACATTCTTGACGGTATTCTTCATATCATTATGTCATTATGTTGAAGAACAAATGATTTGTTCATTCATGCTTTAGGCCACAGTAAATGTTTGTAAGTTTCTCTGTTTTTTAATCTTCTTTTTGAAGTATTGATTAATAGAGAATTTAGTAGATTAGTTTACCTCGTAGTTCATTATGTCCACTAGCTTATCATCTTGTTCTTGCTACTTTTTGGCCGAATTATATGCTTTCATGTGGTAGTAGAAATGAACAAAAAAGAATATAATTGTGAGATCCTACATAGGTCGAAGAGGGATACGAATCATTCCTTATAAAGGTGTGCAAAAACTCTCCATAACAAACGTGTTTTAAAACCTTGAGGGAAATCCTAAAGAGGACAATATCTGCTAGTGGTAGGCTTGGGCTCTTACCAATGGTATCATAGCCAGTCACCGGAAAGTGTGCCAATGATGACGTTGGCCCCTAAGGAGAGTAGATTGTGAGATCCCACGTTGATTGGAGAGGGGAATGAAGTATTCCTTATAAGAATGCGGGAACCTCTACATAACAGATGTTTTAAAACCTTGAGGGGAAGTTCAAAGAAGACAATATCTGCTAGCGGTAGGCTTGAGTTGTTACAAATGGTATCAGAGTCAGTCACCGAACGGTGTGCCAGCGAGGATGTTGGGCCCCCAAGAAGGGTGGATTGTGAGATCCCACATTGGTTAGAGAGGGGAACAAAATTACTTAGAAGGGGAACGACACATTTTAAAATTTTGAGAGGAAGCTCGAAAGGGAAAGTCCAAAAAAGACAATATCTGTTAGCAGTGAGATTGGGCGATTACGGTACTGCTTATCTCTCTATCTCTAAAACCTGCCATTCATCTCCATCAGGCAGAAGTAACCAATCGTAATATCGATTTCGGCTGTGCCTAGTTAGTGTGTCTGCTATGCAGGATTATGGTTTTGGCTGCAGTTTAGAATGAAGAAAGTCTTCATCTGTCTATCTGCATAACAGTGGCATCCATTGGATAGCACAATTGTTTCTGCTGTGTTACTTTTGTTTCCAAATCATCTGTCTATCTGTATGTTGTGAGGAACATTAAGGTGTTCCTCAATATCTGTGTTCATAAATTTGAATCTAAAGGGTTAGTTTACTTTGGCATGTGGACCAGACTTCCTTTAGTAGCTGCTTATCACTGGGGTAGGGGCTAACGCAATATGTTCGCCTTAGAATTTGTATCATTCATTGCCATGTTGCTATGTCGTGGAATATCGTGAAATATCCAATCTCAGTTTTTGCTTTCCAAAGAAATAGTTCTTTAGCCTTGTAACCCGTGCTTAGGATGACTTTAGGCTCGATATATTTCCTTTGGCTACACACTACGAATGCAGAGTAGCGAATAAGGATCCTGGTGCCAACCCATCTTTTCTGATTCCCTTCTCCAACCAATGTGAGATTTCAAAATCCACCCCCTTTAGGGGTCGTGTCCTAGTCACTGCCTGGTTTCTTGCTCTGATACCATTTGTAACCGTCTAAGTCCACTGTTAGCAAATATTATCATTTTTTGGATTTTTTGTTCCAGGCTCCCCCTCAAGGTTTTAAAACGCGTCTACTAGGAAAAAGTTTCCACACTTGTAGGGAGTGCTTCGTTCCTTCCTCCAACTAACATGGGATCTCACAAAATTTGACTCAAGCTTATTTATGTATCCAAAGTTTGCATTTCTCATTTCATCGAATTAGTTTGATAGTTCGATTTGAGCTACCTTATGAAATTATAGTCTTGAAATTATAGTCTTGAAATGCTTCTTGAATTCGATGTTCGAGGAGTTATGGGGATAGCTTTTAACTGTGATGGACCTTTCATCGACATTGCTTTCAATGCTTACAATAACCGAAACGAGCAAGAAAACACTCCATTTAGTACGTGCAGAAGCTCAGGAATGGTCCAGGTACAAAGCCAGACAAGAAGGGAAAGGAAATGCTTGGCCCCAGAGTAGTTTGAATAAGGTAAGAATAACGTTGGCGCTTTGTAATGAATGCAGGGCCAAGCATGTGGGTGCCTACACAGTTTTATTCTCTTTTTCTTTTTTCAATTTTTAAGTGTCTTATTGTCTTTTTAGTTGTCATTTTCTTCCCCTTATGTATACGAATGCACACCTTTTCTCCTATTTTTTACGATCGTGTATTCATAAGACTTGAGAACTTGACAGTGTGTGTTCATAAGACTTGAGAACCTGACAGGTTCAGACAACTCAACCCAAATCATAAATATAGGGTAAGGTCAATCACCACGTGTATTAACAAATATGGCATGACATAAAAAATCTATCGAATCAAAAGTCTTGCAACGGACAAAAAATCTATCCTATCAAAAGTCTTGCAAAAGTTAAAATTAGTATCGGATGAAAATACTTTATTTCCTTAACACGACATTATACAAATTAATCAATCATTTTTTAATGAGTCCATAAATAAAGAACTAGATACCGTTTTTTGGTATAATATTCGAAAGAATATTATGAAAATGAAATTCAAAGAAGAAATTTACCATTTTTTTTAAATAGAATATTAAATGCAAAAAAATATATGCATATTAATAAATAATTGGCCACCAATATTGAGACACATTAGATTTCATTCTAACACCATTGGTCTTCACTCTCGTGCAAATCACGTGACTAACAAACCAATCTTGACCGTTAATTGAACTTTCTTGCATTGAAACAAACCAATCTTGATCGTTCAAATGGCATACCGTCCACTCTCTCAAACCCTACTCCTACAGAGAAAAGCACTCTTTTTATTACCATCAGATTCACCAAAGCTCTCTCTCTCTCTCCTCATTCCTCTCTCTCTCTCTCCTCTCTTTGTTCTTCCTTGAAGCCCCCAGTCGGCTACAAACCCTCTTCTCTCTCCATTTCCCCCCTCCGAAATCCTTTCCCCATAACCCAGAAAACGAATTTCAATTTTCAGACCGAAGCTGAGGAAGAACACCCGAATCGATTTCTCCATTCATTTGGGTATCTCGTGAAAACCAGGGAAAGGGGCAATGGATTCGGATCAGGGGAAGCTTTTCATTGGTGGAATTTCATGGGAAACCTCCGAGGATAAGCTTAAGGACTACTTTAGCAACTATGGTGAAGTGATGCATACGGTGGTGATGAGGGATAAGATCACTAGCAGACCTAGAGGGTTTGGGTTCGTCGTTTTCTCAGATCCCTCTGTTCTCGATCGAGTTCTTCAGGATAAGCACACCATCGATGGTAAAACGGTGCGTCAGATTCCCTTTTTTTACTTTCTTCTTTCCATATTTGGAGTTTTGGCCTTTTTGATTTCTGATTTGGCCCTTTTTACGATGATTCTGGTTGGTGCATTGTTTTGTTCATCAGGCGAGGGATTGACAAAAGGGTCCGAGTTGTTCTGTAATTTCATTTCAGCGTAGTTTATGTTTCCAATATGATCTTGAAACATCAGAAATGGGTTGCTATGAATCTGTGGAGTTTATACTTTAATCTTCTGTAGTCATATTTGTTTAGTTACATTTTAGCATTTGTATTTATATTCTTTTATAGGTTGAGGCCAAGAGGGCCTTATCACGGGAAGAACAGCAGACCCCTGCTAGAGCAAGCAATTCTAATGCTACTAGGAATTCTGGTGGTGGTGGTGGAGGAAACATGAGGACTAAAAAAATTTTTGTTGGGGGATTGCCTCCAACATTAACTGAAGAAGGATTTAAAGAGTACTTTGAGGCGTATGGCCATGTAACCGATGTCGTAGTCATGTATGATCAAAATACTAGGCGTCCACGGGGATTTGGATTTATATCGTTTGATACTGAAGAAGCTGTTGACAGGGTTTTGCATAAGACATTTCATGATTTGAATGGTAAACAAGTAGAAGTTAAGCGTGCCCTTCCTAAAGATGCTAATCCAGGTGCGGGTGGTCATTCAATGGGTGGCAGTGGTTATCAAGGTTATGGGTCTTCTGGTGGTGTTAATTCGAATTCTTATGATAGTCGTATGGATTCGAGTAGGTATATGCAATCTCAGGGCTCTGGTGGAGGGTTCCCACCTTATGGTTCCTCTGGATATAGTAATCCTGGGTATGGGTATGGTTCATCGAACAATGGCATGGGATATGGTGGTTATGGAAGTTACAGCAGTTCGAATACTGGGTATGGCGCCCCTGCAGCTGTAGCCTACGGTAACCCGAATGCTGCTAATGCTGGTTATGGGAGTGGTCCTCAAGGTGGACCGAGAAGTTCATGGTCCACTCAAGCTCCCTCTGGGTATGGAGCCATGGGTTATGGTAATGCTGCTCCTTGGGGTGGTGCTCCTGGAGGCAATGCTGGAGCTGGCAGTGGAGGACCTGGATCTGCACCCACTGGTCATTCTCCTGGTGGAGCTGCTGGGTATGGAAACCAGGGTTATGGATATGGTGGGCTTGGAAATCAAGGTTATGGTTACGGTGGAGGCGATGGCTCGTATGGGAGTCAATCTGGTTATGGTGCAGGTGGAGGACGGTCTGGTAGTGCCTCAAATAGCAACGTCGGGGGTGCTCCAAGTGGGGGAGAGTTACAAGGGAACAGTGGTGGTTACATGGGAAATGGCTATGGGGATGCTAATGGAAACAACACTGGTTATGGAAATGCTGCATGGAGATCTGATGGAGGACAAGTAGGTTATACAGGTGGTTATGCTGGTGGACAAGCTCGGCAAGCCCAACAACAGTAATTCAATGATCAAAAGTAAACTGGATCGTGCCATGTTCTGTGTATCCGTGTTTGTTTTATGAGATCGATGTTTTCAAGTTGCTTATGGAAAAAAAGAGGTTTTCTTGCTGCTGACTGAAACGGTGGCCCGATTTGTAACACAATGAGCCTGGTGGGGTTGCTTGAATCCAAGTAGCTTGCAGTATTAATTTTTCTAGTCTAAAATAAGTAGCTGTTTTAGAAGTTTATTCGATGATGCTTCGGTTATTTAGTATTTTGTTGCGGAACGTAGTTAAATTTGGTCTCTTTATGAATGTCTTTTTTAGCTATCTGTGATCGATTTTCATCTTTTCACTTTGTTTGAGTTGTAACAATTTGTTTCCTACTTATATATTCAGATATTTTTTATGTTTTTCTTGTCCTTTAGATCGTCTAGATCATCTGTCGTAGACGGTATGAAGAACTAGGTGATAGATGTTTCATTCTT